CAGCGATTTTTTCAATTATCAATTTTGACAATTTAATTTGGATTAGCTTTGTGGCATCGAGCATGAATATCGTGAGTGTGTCAGCGACAATGTTTTGTTCGCTGTTCAAAATATTTTCGTAATTCCGGATTTTCTCGTCGCACATTTTCGTGCCCAGTTGGTGCTTATGATTGTCTAAATAAATATTTAACTTAATTTGGCATTTACATATATTTCTTCCCAACTGCTTGAACTCACTCATCTCGCTCATTTATTGCCTGCCGAAATTACATAATGCGCACCATTTTCTCGAGTTGCATGTTCACATTCACTCGCATTCGTTCGTGTCTGGCTCGCATCGCTTTGCATGTCGCCTTCTTTATTGTTGCAATGCGTTGCTTGCAATCGTTTATTGACTGAAAAACAATACAAATTGCCCACTGATTACCGCATAAATCTCGCACAATTTGTTGGCGTCGCAGCATGTTGTTGCATTCTCTTTATTCTTTTTAAGCCAAAAATTTACTTTGCCGTCACAAAGCGGCTCTTTCACTTCCAGCTCGTAGACTCGCGTGAGTTGCGATTACGCATGCGCACAGTTAACAATTTACAATTGCGCAAAATCAATAATCTGTGCGCTCCCTCCTTCTAGCCACTTCCAACCAAGCCGCGCAACAGTTTTTATATTTCTCCTACTTATACCGAAAGCACCTCTGCCCTTGAGTGGCTGCTCATGCGCTGCACTCTTGCGTTGTACTTGCACTTGCGAGCTTGTATTTACATAATAATATGCGACTTCGTTTATTGTTTGTTGTTTTTACATTAACTTCGTTTAACCACAATCGTATTTTGGCAATTATTTTTAAAGGTTTTTTTTGCGTGCTTAGTCGGTACTCCATTGTGGCAGTATTGTATTTTGGTGCCTATAATTTTTTATGCAACGAAATAAAATAAATATTTACAATTTAAACTACCGTTATGTGTGGGTCATGTTAAGTGCAATTGCGAGAGTTCAATACATCATTTACGTTTTGATTTGATGGGGAAAATGAACGCAAATTATGGGTTAGAAAACCCAATTCTTTAAGTGAGGTTAGAAAAAGATTTGCTTCAATTGGAATTATTTGTGTAATTTCCTTTTTAATTCTAGTAAATTAGCAAGCATCAGCGTTGTCTGTAGATTGATTTAGGACTTTTCGTAAGGTTCTCATTATTAAGGCTATGAAGACTACAATATATATGTTGGTTCATTTAGGGTTTGTACTTTACACCGGCATTTGTGCTTATAATTAGCAAATCAGACGTATTATATTATTACTTGGCCCTATTAGTTTTCATAAAGATTATTTCACAACCGATATCTTATTTATTTGAGACTGCTAGGCTTGATATGCCCGAAAAATATCTCAGATTTTAGTGACCATATAGCTTTAGGGTGCACCTTTATACCAAAACAGATCGAGCGGCTCCACAAAAAAAAGTCTACATCGATTATACGAGGTTTGTTCAAAAGTATCGCGAATTTGAATTTTTCTCAGCTACGTGTATTCGACTTTTTTATTGCGTATTGTTAATGGGAAATTAGAGGTCCACTATCTCTCCAAAACATATCCATGATTAAGAGACTAAAACAGTGACAGAAAACACAGATTGCCCGCTAAAACGACATCAAGGTATTCTTTATCTGGTTAATATATAAGTAAACTCTATATTTCGATAATCCAAACAATGCATCGTACTATTCCAGTAAAGATACAACGCCCTTAAAAAATAATAAACAACAACAATAAGTAAGGAGAACTGTGTACTCGAAAATTCGCAAGTATGAAAATATTGTCTCAAAATGACTTGAGATCAACAACAAACCAACAACAAAAGCTCGATGCAATTCTCATGTCACATAAACAATTGTTTCTGTGTTGTTATTAATTAGCTGACTTCATATTCACTGTTATTGTTAGTTTGTGCATTTCAATTGAATTTGTTGGAATTTTCGTCTGTTTACTTTTGGTTGTGTGCGCAAAAATATTTTTCAAATGTGAAGGTAATTTTTCTTCAGGAAATTACAAACACTGAAATTTGCAGCGTCAAATACCATAGTCTCTTCGCTAACCGACACACTGAATGAAAGCGCAAAAATTTTTGAGGGCATTAGGAGACCGCTCATACATAACAAGCGTTCGCTTTTTCGTATGGAGTGAATGAATATACACTGAGAAAATTTAAAGCACATTTATTTTGGTTAAATAGCTGAAAAAAATACAATTAATTGATTAAATATTAAATTATGTTATTTTTATGAAACTACAACAAATTTACGAAAGTCAGTTTTTATCTTTAGTTAAATAACTATAATCGTGCGTGTTTGCCAAGAGATGACGCCACTTAATTTCTATTCCATTGTTCCAATTTTCGAACATGCGTTATAAAGGTACAGTCCTTGTGCGTCTTTCAGTCTTCGTGTCATTCAATTGAAGCGTAAACAATAATAATTTTCACTCAATTATGACGAATTTTTTGACTGAAGATAAAGTGCGTGGAGTTCTTTTCATTATTTTACTATTGAATAAATCTTAGCCAAGCATCCTTTTAGTGGATGTTTTACGTTGAACATGCTTTACTAGCTGCTGTCAATGTGTAAATGTTGTTTGCATCGATTTAAATGTAAGTTTTGTTTGGAAAACGAACAACAGCGTGAAAAGCACGTAAAAAGTTTGAAACTGAAGCTGAAGCACCAATCGAGAAGAATGCTGAACACTAGAAAGTGACTGGTGATGAAAAATGGATTCATTCAAAAACCTATAGTAAAACCAAATGTGAACCTAGCCAACCAGCGCAAATCAACGGCAAACCCGATATCCATAACGACAAGGTAATGACTCTTATTTGGTGTATGAGAAGTCATGCTTTATTAAGAGCCTCTAAGATCGAGTGAAACTATTACTAGGAAACGCTACCGACAACAACTCATCAAATTGAAGCGAGCGATAGCCGAAAATGTCCGGAAGTATCGACTAGTCACGAGACCTTATTTTCCCATCATGACAACGCTCGGCTCATGTTACAAGACCGGTTCTATTTGAAAAACGGTGGCTGAGGAAGTTTTTCTCACCCATCTTATGCCCAACCTTGCTCCTTCTGCAATAATATGGTTCACATCAGACAGAGTATTAAAAATTTGCTTAATTCATTTTGCCACCAAGGTGGCGCAGTTATATTGATGGAATTAACAAATTGCCAGAAGACATGAAAATGTTATAGCTTCAGGTGGCAATACCTGGTAATATTAAATTGAACATTACTTTCTAAATATACTTTAAAAACTTAAAAAAAAGTTCGACTATAGTTATAACATACTATACTCAATACTTTAAAACCAACCTGACTTACAGAAATCACTGTATTCCCACATAATATTGGTGCTTGAAGCATAGATGGACCGATATCATACTCATTATTTGCCATAAATCTTATTATGCTTAAAAACCCCCAGTCAACTACTTTCATTAAAATTATCGAAACACTGGTCGAGATATGCGATGTAAACACAAAAAGGAAGAAAGTAGTCCAATTGGTGGTATAATCGTAATAGGTTTCAAACGATTTCACTTCATTTCTGGCAACACAAATCTTCTTATCTAGATAGTTGCATATTTATAGATATATAAGCATATTCGTATACCGCAATAGGGAGTTGAAATACGCCGAATTTATAAATTATTATGTCGGGACTGTCAAATTTTTACCTTAGTTGTTTTCGTGTCTTAATTATTGCTTTATTTAGTTTTGTAAAGGGAAAATTTATGGCGACGTTTTCGAAGATTATGGTGTATTAAAAGTAACGTGATTGTGGTCGATTGCCGCTGCCAGATTTATATAAATAATATATAGATTCTCCGATAATTTACCGATCAAACAAATAAAATTTAATGTTGTATTTACATTCTGCCAAGAATAACTCCCCAATTTCGCCTACTTTTATGTACAATAATTACTAAAAATATTCACTTCGTATCTAGTCTAAAATCGCGTTTTATAATGTTTGCTTTTCCCACGTGTACTCGCATTATGAATAAAGCTCCAGCGCGCTCGCGCCAACGTCACCACAAATTTCCAGAGTTTATGTTCAAGTTCGGCTTTGCTGTTCAGCCCCGAAATACTCATTCTAAACAATGTCATCAGTGACAACCGCCACCTAAAAATACAATAAAAAATTCAAAATACACAATAATGATAAACAATGTAGCGCATCAGTCACAATCACCAAGGAACAACAACTCAATAACCAATAGTAACAGTAATCACATACGAGCGCATGGAAATAAGATTCGAAACAAGTAACATGAGCAATGCATAAATAAAATGTAGGGCTCACAAAATATGGTACACACACACACACTCTATATATATACAGTAACTCCTATTACATGCCATCACTTGCCAATCGCTTGCATGTGCAAAAGCTACCAACTCCCATTTCTGATGCATCGCACGCCGCTACAAACACACAAATGCACACACACACTTCAGGCGGCCTCCATCGGCGGTGCGCTGTGCGCCCGTTCCATCGACTCATATTTCGGCCTCCTTTTGCCAGCGTCCCCACGAATTGCGCTACAGAATTGTTGGTTGTTGTTCATGTTTACCTGATTGTAACTCGTGTTGTTGTGGTTGGTAGTTAAACAGTATGTGTGGTTGTTATTATTACTTTGCCTATTGAACGCTGAAAAATTCTACAAGCAAGCCATGTGCACATGTGTGTATGTGTCTCAGCACCTGTGTTAGATAGTGATTCTTGCTTTGGGTTAATCTCATCAGACATTTGAGCGCCGCTACCGCCAAGCAGGTCTCTGCGGCCCCAATTTCACTTGCGGTGCTTGCAGTTTTACTGCTTACACATGTACTCGTAGCATCTTCCACGCTCTATTTTACACGCTTTACAACTTACGCTATACAATTGAGAGCATTCGGGGCGTAGAGGCCTCTAATGTGAAGCGAAACTTTATTATACCTATACTTACATAGTATTACTACACCCGCTAAGTGAAGGAAAGGTGCACTGGCGTACAGTGGGTTAAGTAGAATGACTACTGCGGTAGAAAATGAGTATGATTTGTATAGAATTTGTTTTGGTTAGTTGCTGGCACTGCATTTCATCACCTCTCAGCATTCGTTTTTTATAATAGGATGAAATATTATGAAAGTGCTAATAGGGATATACAATTGAGACGCTTTGCGATATGACTTACTTTACAACATTTTGCATGGAGTTGATTTTTGTGATAGGTGAGTTACGTTAGTATCCGACTATATTTCATAGGGTTATAAGGGGTTATATCCACATTTCCACGTATCCTATTTACTAAGTAAATAAAAGGAAGATTTAAATTTACAACATTAAATGTGCTTTTCTATTCAAAAAATAACTTAAAAAATGTTGGATTACCTTAATCGCATAACCGATCTCATAGACGACCTCCGGAAAAAAGTGCCAGGTAGTGAGGCAGGTAATGTATCAAGCACTAGTCAAAATTTAGATGTTTGACATAA